AGGATCATTATTCACACTTCATTCTTCGTTTGGCCTTCTCCGCCACAGAAGACCTTCGTCGGCGCTTCGTGAGAGCCGAAACAATGCTCTTCAGATTCCGCTTCCAGCGTGATGACACGAGGGAAAAGCGCGCTTTCATCGAGAGACTCAACCTTGACTGGGAGCCTGTGGAGGATGATGAAAGACAAAGATTGGCAGAGCATTTAATTGGTGCCACCCCAGGCTTACGTCGTGTGGATGAAGAGGCATGGTACAAAGTGGACTGGGAGCGAGTACCCGAGCTTGTCGAGAGAAGATCTGTGTTCTTGTATAAAGGCAAGGCCTATGTACCTGGAAGAGAGCAGTTGAGCATGATTATTGCGGAATTCACTGCCCGATTGGAACGCGCGCTTGAGGTACGGACACTGCCCTCCCTGTCAGGATTTGCCCATCACTAACATTCTCCAGCTCACGAGTCGGGCACTACCGCGGTTGGATGAGGATGATCGTCTGACTCCAATTCTGAATCATTTGTCAAAGAACTTTGGAAGCGCCGAGTCTGTTTATTCGGAAGGCGAAGGGTTTGTTGACGGTGCTGCAATCACTGCCAACAACATCGACCAGCTATCTCAACACTTCCCACTGTGCATGCGCAGTCTGCACATGAACCTACGGAAAAACAACCATCTCAAGCATTATGGTCGTCTCCAATATACCCTGTTCCTTAAGGGTATTGGATTGTCACTCGAAGAATGCATCATTTTCTGGCGCCAGTCGTTCAAGGGTTTCACGGATGACGAGTTCAACTCTCGATACAAGTACAATATCCGCCACGCTTATGGTGATGTGGGAGGCGATGTCAACCGCCGGGGTCGAGGATATCCTCCTTATTCATGCCAGAAGATTTTAGGCGACTCAAACCCTGGAGTTGGACAGACTCATGGATGCCCTTATCGCCATTACTCGGTCGACAATCTCATTGGATTGCTTCAGACCACAGGCGTCAATGACAAGGAAGTCCTCCGTGGAGTGCGAGAAGATGTCGAGAAAATGCGTTATCATATCGCTTGCAACAGAGTCTTCGAATCGACTCACAAGACCGAGATCAAAAGAGTCAAGGAAGATGGTTCATGGAACCAAGTGGATTTGGACACCATCGTTCACCCCAACACTTACTTCAAGCGCAGTTTCTTGTTGAAGCAGACAGCCCGGGCGTCCAAGAGTTCTTAAATAGCTTGCATGGGAGTCGACGACGATATGTTTTTATGGCGTTTGTCTTTTTCTTGCGAAGTTTTTAGTCCATAAGGCGTCGGACCTGGTTCATTATGTCGGGATACGGGACACTTTTTTTTTCGGCACACATTTATTGTAGATATTACACGCATAAGTCAACCTTGCAGTACACACATTCAATTGTTTGTGAAAGAAAATAAATTGTACGAAATTAGGGATTTGACCACAGCTGATTCCCAAATTATCCAAAAGGAACAAAACGTCCTTTCAAAGCCAGGTGCCCAGCAACGGGTCAGATTTATTCTTCGCTCGACGCGTAAACAACTTCACCATTAAGGTGGCTAGAAGCTGAGAAAGATGATGTCGGCGTGAAAAAAGAAAGAAATTCATAAGAAGAAAAGAAAAAGTTTGGGAAGTGGAGGAAGAAGAGCCGCTATTTAAAGGCCACTAGCGTGGGGGTACGGCGGGCCGCAGAGACCGTTTGTGCTGCAACCTGGCCTTATGCCAGCACCGCCGCTTCACACAACAGTCTCCTGATCCCCCGCATAGTCATTCAGGACAGCAGCTGTTGGCGTTGCGCGCTTCAAGACTGGGTGTTTGCTATAGGAGCATCTTCTTTCATATTCAGCCTGTGGTGCTCCCAAAATTTCCACTTCTGGAATTGTTATTGTTCGAGGAGATCTCCCCTCACTCTTCCCCATTAACGGAGCCCCGTTTACCACGCCGCCAACATGGACTACGAAGCGTTGAAGGACCAATGGAGCGACGTTGAGGATCGCGACGGCATCAGATTGAGCTGGAACACATTCCCAAGCTCTCGCATGGTTGGCATTATGGTATCGATAAATTATACACGTCAGTCACTAACTCAGTCCATCATAGGAAGCATCCCGACTTGTTGTCCCCATTGGTGCCGTCTACACACCCCTTAAGGAGAAGCCGGACTCTCCATTGCTACAATATGAGCCAGTGACCTGCAAAGCGCCCTGTCGGGCCGTTTTGAACCCTTATGCGTACGCTAGACGGTTGTTTTCGAAATGAAGTAAAGCTCTCACTGACATCATCTAGCAATGTTGACGTTCGTGCCCGCATCTGGATCTGCCCTTTCTGTCTCATGCGCAACCCTCTGCCCCCTCACTACAAGGATATCACCGAGAGCACAATACCCCCGGAACTTCATCCCATGAGCACGACGATCGAGTATCAACTGGCACGCCCTGCTCCCGCCCCTCCTATCTTCGTCTATGTTGTCGATACCTGCCAGGATGAAGACAGCCTGAAGGCTGTCAAGGACTCGTTGATCATGAGTTTGTCGCTGTTGCCAGCCAACGCCTTGGTCGGTCTGATCACATTCGGCACCATGGTAGGGACAACTCTCGATTCGGTCACGGTAGAATGGAATGTTAATTCGAGATACAGGCTCAAGTACATGAGCTTGGCTACACCGAATGTGCCAAGTCTTATGTGTTCCGTGGCAGCAAAGAGTATGCTGCAAAGCAGGTCCAGGAGATGCTTGGTCTTGCATCTGGAGTGCGGCCGAACATGCCCCAGCAGCCCGCCCGCCCTCCTCTGGGACCTGCGGCACGATTCCTTCTCCCCGTTCAGCAGGCGGAATTCCAGATCACGAATGTGCTCGAGCAGCTACAGCGCGATCCTTGGCCTGTTGCGAATGACAAGCGTCCTCTCAGATGTACTGGTGTTGCGCTTAGCGTTGCCGTTGGTTTGCTCGAGACCTCTTTCCAAAACGCGGGTGGACGCATCATGATCTTCACCAGTGGTCCGGCCACTGAGGGCCCGGGTCATGTCGTCGGCCCTGAGCTGAAGGAGCCTATCCGCTCTCACCACGATATTGATAGAGACAACATCAAGTACTACAAGAAAGCTGTCAAGGTAGGTTCTGATGTGGTCATGAAGTGCTCTCATACTATACTAACGGATGCACATAGTTCTACGACAGCATGGCCAAGCGTGCCGCTAACAACGGACACATTGTTGACCTGTTTGCTGGGTGTCTTGACCAGGTCGGCATGCTGGAGATGAAGAATCTCGCCAACTACACTGGTGGCCATATGCTTCTCACGGATAGCTTCACATCCTCCCAGTTCAAGCAATCATTCGTCAGAATCTTCGACAAGGACGCCAACGATAACCTGCTCATGGGCTTCAACGCATCCCTGGAAGTACTCACCACCAAGGAACTGAAGGTCACCGGACTCATTGGACACGCGGTCTCTTTGAACAAGAAATCGAGCTCGGTTGGTGAAACGGAGTGCGGCATTGGTAACACTTGCGCCTGGAAGATGTGTGGAATCGACCCCTCCTCGAGTTACGGCGTCTACTTTGAAATCGCGAACCAAGGCGGTCCGGCAGCAGTCCAGCCAGGCCCACAAAGAGGAATGATGCAATTCCTGACATACTACCAGCATTCGTCTGGCCACTATCACCTTCGAGTTACGACCGTTGCACGGAATCTCAGTGGTCCGGCTGGTGACCCCACACTCGCACAGTCTTTCGACCAGGAGGCCGCTGCTGTATTGATGGCGCGAATTGCGGTCTTCAAGGCTGAGGTTGATGATGGACCGGATGTGCTCAGATGGGTTGATCGTATGCTTATCCGGCTTTGCTCTCGCTTTGCCGACTACCGAAAGGATGACCCTACCTCCTTCCGATTGGAGAAGAACTTCACTCTCTATCCTCAATTTATGTTCCACTTGCGCCGAAGCCAGTTCTTGCAGGTGTTCAACAACTCGCCTGATGAGACTGCCTTCTATAGACACGTCCTCAACCACGAGGATGTCGGCGATTCTCTTGTCATGATTCAGCCCACGCTCGATTCGTATTCTCTCGAGCACGAAGGAAGCCAGCCGGTCCTTCTGGACTCTGCTTCCATCCAGCCTTCCCACATCCTACTGCTGGATACCTTCTTCCACATCCTAATTTTCCACGGAGAGACTATCGCAGAATGGAGAAAGGCCGGCTACCAGGATCAGGAGGGTTACGAGAACCTCAAGGCTCTCCTCGAGCAGCCAAAGGAAGATGCAAGGGTTCGTGAACATCCATCGTTACACATTCTCCGCTTCTCTGCTAACTGTTTGCAAATCACAGGAGCTGATCTCGGACCGTTTCCCCCTGCCTCGTTTCATTGTCTGCGATGCTGGCGGTTCCCAGGCGCGTTTCCTGCTGTCCAAGCTGAACCCTTCCACGACGCACACGACAGGAGGATATGGCGGAGGTGTCACGTCGCAAACGATTTTCACCGACGATGTCTCGTTGCAGACTTTCATGGACCATCTGATGAAGTAAGTCCGCAACATATGTCTGATTTGCAGTCAATCATTTCTAACCTAATCCACCAGGCTTGCTGTTTCCGGAACCAGCTAGATCTGACAAGAAATGGCCATACCAAGAGCAAGGGAAGGTTTACGTTGGTCGTCGGGTCGTTTGTATCTTTAGCGGTTTCTCCTATTTTTGTCTGTTACCCTGGAATATATCAGCTGCCTAAATTAGATGCATTGAACACAAGCAAAGCCCAGTAAGATTGTCACTCAGTAAGGTAGTATACGGCATCATTTCCCACCTGTCATACGAGGCACGCGCGGCTCTTCGTCATGATCACGTGACATTATCGGGCTGAGCCCTATTACGCCAAGCCGATTCGGGCGGCTCGCTTAGTGGAGGTGCGGACGGCAGCTAAATATCCTTCACTTTCAGATAACAGCTTCCCTTCTTTCCTTGTACCATCCACCCCGACAACTCCCAAGGACGATCGACCACCTTTCGCACTCGCCATGCGTAAGTATCATCTCCTTGGTGTCAAAATGGCGGACTGAACTGACATTAAACCCATTGGGCAGCTCCCAAGTTCGACCCCAATGAGGTGAAGATCATGTAAGTTGCGCACTGCGAAATTTTTTCTCTCGCGACAATCCCCGCCAATCGCAATGCTAATGAATATATTAGTCACCTGAGAGTGACTGGTGGTGAGGTCGGAGCCCAGTCTGCTCTGGCTCCCAAGATCGGTCCCCTCGGTCTGTCTCCCAAGAAGATTGGTGAAGATATCGCCAAGAACACCGGTGATTGGGTATGGAACCACCGCGCGCACGCTTGCTCCCGCGATCAGAAGATCAGTCGCTAATATCGATTCTTTGGATTTTATAGAAGGGTCTGCGTGTCACCGTCAGACTCACCATCCAGAACCGTCAGGCCGCCGTCTCCGTTGTGCCTTCCGCCTCTTCCCTTGTCATCAAGGCCCTCAAGGAGCCCCCGCGTGACCGCAAGAAGGAGAAGAACATCAAGCACAACAAGTCCGTCTCTCTCGATGAGATCGTCGAGATTGCCCGCCAGATGCGCAACCGCTCTTTGGCTAAGGAGCTCAAGGGTACCGTCCTTGAGATCCTCGGTACCGCCTTCTCCGTCGGTTGCCAGGTCGATGGCCGCAGCCCCAAGGATGTCTCTGACGACATCAAGGCTGGCGAGATCGACGGTACGTTCTACCGAGCCCCCATCGACATCGCTCGCAGCATGCTAATAAACTTATAGTCCCCTCCGAGTAAATGATCAATCATGTATCATGGCGGTCGCGATGATGTATCGACATGCTAGTTACTTAATATGATCGTTTGTTCTCACGAACAAAACCTAAATACCCTTACGAGTCATGACTAGAATTCCCACTGTTGTTTTCGCATTCGGCAAAAAATGATAAGTGTTTTTTCGCTGGACATCCCGTTCAATGATTCTTCCTGGTACCTTCCCCAAAAACCCTCCTGATTGCTTTTCACGGTCTACTTGCTGCCCTCCATGTGCGAGCCGGATCCTGTCAAGACAACAACACTTTCTTTATCCATCCGTTGGATCCTCTGCAACACTCTGGCCCTTACCGTCTCTTCCCGCCTTCGGGCCTGGATTTGACTTGTTACCAAACGTGGTATAGGCTTATTTTACGCAGAGGAGATCAAAACTCCTGACCCGTTACTCACCGCTGCATTCTTGAAGGGAGCTCAGCTTCTGACAGTGGATGTGGTGGTCCATATTACGGTCAACATTTCGTAACACGTAATTCAGATATTCTTATCAAATTCACTACAAATTTCAATTACAATCTTGCCTGCAATGAACTTCATCCATTCTTCAACCTCGTATTTCCATACCCTGCCGCGTAATATCTTCAATCCTTCAAGCTGGAATGTCGCCTGGCATGCGGGCAGATCCGTACTAAGTGGCAGCCACAAGCAGGCGTCACGGCGAATAGACTGGAAATAGCAAATGTGGAAAAACGCCATGAGCAGCAAAAGAGAAAAGAAAATACGTTAGGATGCCGCAAGGCGCCGGACAACACCGAAGAATCCCACGCTCTCCACCCGCCTGGGGGCGCCATGGCCCATGGCCCATGGCAGTTGGTCCCTGATACGCGCCCGCATGCAGGTGCCCCTTTGCAGCCCTAGTCCAAGTCACCACAGTGCACACTGGCACCGCTCTCTTGGTCCAGTGGCAGCACCAGGTTGACAGCCCATCAGAATGCTAAACACATTGTTTTGTGATGACAAGTTCGGGGCTGCTTCACAAGTCATTTTTCTTTTCTGTGACGCAGCATTTCGAATCTCCCATACGCACAAGCTGAGTCAGCCATGATGATCCAGTTAGTTAGTTCGCTAATGCGACCCAACTACAAATGAAGATCCCTGACCAGTCTTGTTTTACAACCTCTAATTTGAACCCTCATGACTACCTACACATCATGGTTCTTACCAAGATTTTTGTTTCTGGGTGGGTGAGAGCGGGAGGATCCTCCACCAGTTGGCCGCAGATCAACATGAGGGATCCAACGAGTAAAAACCTATCTGAGAGAGCAAGCAGGAAAAGGGAAAAAAGAAAAAAGGACCTGACAGGTGCAGAATGCATGCGTAAATTGTGCATCCTTAAGGCGAGAAAGCCCTGACGACTGACACCCCTCTCTCCCCAGTTTACAGTAGTCGCCGCCGGCTTTGCCTGCCTGCCTGCCTGCCTGGCAAGTGATGAGTCTAAGCCCGTAGTTAAACTCAGTTTGCCGATCCGCAACACCCTCTCCAGACCCCCGCGGCTCGTGACATGGCCGCGTCGGTGATCGAGCTCAGGGTCCTACTTTTTTTTTTTCTTCTTTTCTGGTTGACTCGAGGAATGGATGATTTTTGGATGCGGTTTGGCGTGCGGCCCCATGTCCGCTTGGTCTGGGCCGAGATACTATCGATAGTTCGATATACTAGTCTCTCGCATGGTATTGAGGTGGGTGAATGGAGGGGCGGGGGGGGATGGATGGCGGGGGGGTCAGCAACCATAAACGAGACAACAAAAACAACAATGAAGAGAAGAGAATTATAATCATAAATGCCAGACAGGCAACAAAGATCCATAACTGTGCGTATCCTCCCTACGTACTAGCGGCATCAATGATGATTAGGTGGCCTCTTTTTCTCTCTAAGACCATCGTCGTACCTAGCTACCTGTTGTGCTATGCGAAGCGAAACTGGCTGAATTCCGCCACTGCGACTGGACAGAACGGGCAGACGCTGGCTTTATTTGAACCAAGGTAGATGGAGCGGAGGGCTGATGTTGATTTCATTTGATGTAAACTGAGCGAGGTGTTGGGACGAACTATGTCAGAACAAAGCTGGGCTCTGAATGTGTGTGAGGTGCTTGTGTTGCCTTGTTTATACTGTATGTTTGTGGTCAGGACTGGAGCGCTTCAATATATGTTTTTATTTCGGCAGACGAAAGGGATCGACTACTCCACGCCGGTAGTTGGGGAAAAATCAAAAGCAGCCTATCGAATGAATGAAACGACCGGAAGGAGATTGAGGCCAAGTTGTCAGGTACCAATCAGCCTATCTCACCTGATCACAGGTGGCATGCGTGTATTGCTTTTCAGCCTCGCGCATTGGGGCTGCAGAAATGATGCGAGCAACAACAGCAAACGATGGCCCAACATTTTCCGGCCCTCGCATTCGTGCAGCCACCACTGATCGCTAGTCTTCGTTTTCTATCATTCTCACTTCCTGCCTAGCTTACTACTCAGTAGTTGTGAGTAGCAAAGGACAGACGGACTACATGATGCAGGATTTCCGGCCCCTATCATCGGGATCTTTGAAAGATCTCGAGATCCAACTTTCCGTTCTTTGTTGGAAACATCCCCCACGATCGCGAAATCCGAATTGATACAGAGGCAAACAATCTATGGGTCCATCTGTTTATATTTTCCCCTTTCAACTTACATACCATGCGAGAAAAAAAGAAACTTGTCAACCCTCTCTCCAAGGCCAGCGTGCAGCTGCCGCTAGAAGGATGGACATGGGACTCCACTTCAACCAAACCCACACCCACAAAAGTGCCAGATCGCTCCGAGACCCAACCCACCAAACAAACCATCGTAACTGCCAGGCAGCCCCCAAAAGCCAGGCAGGTCCCCCAGGGCTTGATCGCTGCGGGCGCCAACTAGGACCGGGGGATAACATAAAAAGAGAGAGGAAAGAGAGGGGAGGTCGGGAGGGTTTCCTAGCATCCATGGCTGATTAGTGCTGGACCACTGACGTTGGACAGGCCTGGATTGCTCCTGCGCCCAAGTGGCTAGCGCCAGACCATCCTGGCCGTTGGATCGTAACTCTAGGTGGGTCGGGAAAAGTGAAGGTGGGGGGAGGAAGAGGAGAAGGGATTGATGTTCGTGTTTCTTTGGTTGCGATCCGCTCTCTGCTCTCCGTGTGGGTGGTGGAGGGTTGTACTCTGGAGTATGTGTGATTGAGTGACGGAATATGTCTCGGGACGGAAGCTGTAGGAAGGGAAGGAAGAGAAACGGAATAGGAGATTAGGATGATGCTATAAATGCTGGCTGTGCAGCAATCCGTAAACTCCGGACTCCGTCAATATCTACTCATGTAATTGACAGAGACGAGAGGGCGAGTTATCAGAGATTCAGTATCAAAGGGACCGGATGTGGAGTAGAGGAGAGGAGAGGAGGGGAAGAGGGTAGAGGGATGAGGAAAGAGAGGGCAGGAGCGATGCCATCCATGGAAACCAGAGCTATGAGTTAGTGATCTACTTGACTTACTCATCCAGGCGGGAGGAATTTACCTTCGCTATTATTATTGCTCCTGCGTACTGCACTACACCACGCACAGTGAATTTACTACATACTACATACTGCTGCTGCTGCCTCTTACTTGGTTAATCAATTCAAATTCTGAGTGAGTCCCCGCTTCAGTCCGTATATACTGACACTGACATTTGCATCTCTTCCCTCGGCAGCACCGTTTGAACACCGTCTCATCTCAGCCACCACCGACTCATCTTCATCCTGGACGCCTCAAATACTCTACTCAAACCCACCAGGTTCCAGCCCCAGTGGTCATTGGCTCCACTCCCACTGGCCCATTCGCGCTTTTCTCTCCCCCCCCCCCCCACTCTCAAAAAAAGGAACCTGGAACCATTTGGTGGCTGCCGCCGTCCACGGCTTGCGTTTGAGATGCTCCGCTCCGTCATGAATGGTGACTGACTCTTTGTCTGCTACAGAGAGTGGATTACAGACTCAAGGCCCAAGTCCAGCTAAGACCCACCCAATGGTCCGCCCACTGGAGCTTTAAATTCCATATTTCATTATTATTATCCTTCTTCTTGCGTCTTGCTACTGCTGCTGCTACTGCTGCTGCTGCTCCTCCTGCTTCTCCTCCTGCTTCTCCATCCAAGATCCAAAGGCTTCCTTTATGCTCGGTCGTCTTCGAATGTGGTCCCGGTCAAGCAAAATAGTCCTAGTCGAAGAGAAAGGCAGAGATTAAAAATCTCTAATACGAGTACAAAGAACATTTTTCTACTGGCTGACTCCGGAGCGAATTCTGACACATTTTTTTTCCCTTTCGAATTTCCACCCGGAATTCTTTCATTCTTACACTTTTCTCCTCCTGTCTCAAATCTTGTCTTCCTCTCCGCCCGCCGTTGGGATCAGCTCCGCTTCCACAGCCTTGCGGTGCCTGGATTCCGGTGCCCTTTCTCATTGTATGCTCCGTACTGTACTAATCAGTTCGACTATCAGTGAAGGCTGGAAGTTGCCTGTTGATTGGCATTGACTACGGAAGATTGTCATCAGCTAGTGGTGCCATGTTCAACCTTTTTACAACACTATCGCTTCCCTGATTCGGATTTTGCCGGCCTTCTTAATGTGATTCGTTCCTCCATCCTCTATTTCGATTGCCGTATTCATTGATTGATTGATTCTCTCCCCCTCGTTATTCTTGATTAGTATTTTTCCCCCCTGATTAATCTTCTTTTTTTATTATTTCTTTCATTATTATTATTATTCTCACTATTATCATTATTGTTCTTATTATCATCCTGATTATTCCTTTTTTCAACACCCCGACCTTTCTTACCAACTAACGACAACCACCACAATTCATCTCACTCGACTGCCGACCGGTTCGCTCGTTCATCATCTCTCTCCTCTCCGCGCATTTACCCTTGTCGCACCTTTCCCTTCCTTTCCTTCCCTACGCCATCACACTTGACTCTATCCGGGTACAACATTTCTGCCAAGTGCAGAATTGACTGCTGGTTGATCGCGCCGTGCGGACACCTGCGTCAGTGTGGGCGCTCGACCAGGCTGACTAGGGTTGTGACTTTCAATCCCTTCCCTCCCTTGCATCGCTTCTTCATCCACCAAGACTGTTCGGCAGCAAATAGCGTCTTTCGAGCGGATCGCCTGCGTGTCTTTTCTATCTTCTGGAATCCTGCGCCTTCGTGGATGGTATCTTCGTCCCAGATTCGGCTTCTATCCAGTCATCTCCCCTTCTCTACTTTCTTGGTGCCGGCTGCCGTACGTTCGACCTCCAGACCAGCATACCGTTCAACAGCGTTCATGTCGAGCCCAGAGACAAGCGGTGGGGGGCTTCGCTGAAGTGTCAAGTGAGCCGGCTCATGTCCAGGATGAGGTGTAGGAAACGCTTCAAGGCGGATGCTTGTTAAATCTCCAGCGAGAGATTGATTGTCGACAATACTGACTGCTCTCCATCTATCGGAGCCGCTCTCCGCCCAGGCTTCCCCTCTCACGCCGCTTCACATAGCGATTTATTGTTTCTCTTTTCTTTCTGCGACCTATCTCTTGCATCCGGTCTCTCTGTCCTCTTCCTTCCCTCTTTATCTTGCCTAACAAGCAGAAACATTTATCGACCACGGGGGACGACGAGCGGTGCCATCGCCATCCGCGGTCAAGATGTTACCCTCAGTAGCGCCATTTCCGCCCATCCAACCGCATCACCATCTGCACTATCGTCGTGGATCCGACAGCTTGAATGAACCTTACGACCTTAACGCCTCCTTCTCCGCTACCCTTCCCCACCAGGACATTAGCAAGAATTCATCTCAATCATTACCCCGAACCCGGCTGCAATATCCACATCCGATTCAACGTCTCAGTGTTACAGACGCTACGCGCCCGTTAACCCATACGAATAGTGCGGGCGAGCATGCGTTACGGAGGAAGACACCGAATGGGACGCTGGCGGCTGGATACGATGGGACCCCCGGAGATACTACCATTCAGCCCCCAGCAAGCAAGCATATTCTAGTGTCGCCTCTGGAGCCCAGTCATATGATTCCTCAACAGACTGGATTTGCGTTGGATACATGGCAGCAGCCCAGGCTGGATCGCGCCTCATCCGGAAAGCAGCTCAACTTTCCACCCGTATACAAAAATGAAGCGACGCGGGGAAACGCAGCTCCCGGGGAGATGGGCCAAGGGATTCATGGGGCAAGCTGGGTTCGTTCGTTGAACTACGTGCCTGGAATTGATTCAGTGCTGAACCAGACCTTGCCGATGCAACCCTCACAACAGCGGTTCTACTGGCACAATGGTGCCTATATTCCCACGGTGCTCCCCGCAACCTTGCAGCCGTGCGTTGGTCCCACCGCTTCAGCAGGAACCGGTCCGTATGGACCGTACTGGCCCGACGGGGCTTACATTCCCTATCGCCCAGCAGCGTTTCGTGATACTCGTTTTCATACCCCAAGTCCGTTTCTGAAGGCCGTCAATCCTTCTAGTCTACAATTCCTCGATGCTGTTCAACCGCCATTGAACCGACCAGGGTTATCAGCAGCTAGCCATCCTGACTCGAGTCTAGCTTGGAACCCTACCCCGACGGGGATGCTCAATGCTGAGTTGCCCGTGCAGAATAATTTTCCTCGACGCCACTCGGAACAGAAGATTTTGGATACCTCGCAGCACCAATTGGTGCTCCCGTTCCATACCCGCCAACCAACCTCGAGCTGTGGTTTTCCGTCGCTACTGACTCACGATACATCGTCATGGCCGAGTATTGCAGGCAGTCAGGGACCTCAGAACATGGACCCTGTGGGTAGCTCACGTGCAGCGAACGCAGAGTTCAAAGAGAAGGTGTTGACATGGGCCCATGGAGTCTATGTGGATCTTCTCGCATCTATACACCAGGCCCGGCGAAACAGCATTTCCAATTCTGCCACTGAGGGCCCGAGTCAACGGCTCCTGAAGCCGAGCATATACCCTAAACCTCCTCGGCAGCCCGGACTTGACTTCTCAAGCGCCGCTTGTAGTGACCTTTCTCGCCATAACAGCTTTCCACCTGCCCATTTCGATTATCATGCGTCGAGACCTGACGTTCAGATGCTCGATCGAGTCCGCCACACCAGTCGATTTTCTGCTACCTCTTCTGCCTCTCGTTTTGGTGCGCCGTCCCTCAATGAGGGCTCTACGACTGCCAATGCTGTATCGTCTCTCGAGATGCTATCGCATCTCTGTATGGAAAGTGGTTGGGAATGGATCGATGGCATGCTTCTCGGAGGTTGCCTGGCTTATGGTCTCGGTGACTATAATAAGGCTACACGGTGGTATTCGCGGATCATCGCCCGAGATTCTTCGTGAGTATCCTTCATGACAGCTGATAATTAGACCTCTAACAATAGATCAGACACGTGGAGGCGATCTCCAACCTCGCCGCTACGCTTTTAGCGCTTGATCGCCGGGATGAAGCTTTGCAACATTGGCTTCGCGCTGTGAAACTACGCCCAAGCTATTTTGAAGCCGTGGAGCATTTGATTGGCCTTTTGTGCAGCAGCCAACGGGGCAAGGAGGCAGTAAACATTATCGAATTTGTGCAGAACTCTCTACGTTCTTCTCCTGGTGGAGAATGTTTCAAAGCGGACGAGCATGCGAGCGAAACGGAAAGCGATGCTGAAAGCAGAGCTTCCAGCGCGTCAGATTTGGGCTCGTACGAGAAAGCCACATTCGATTATGACGATGATTTTAGTCGATCTGTATCCACGATCCATGGTCCAGCTGACGCAAAAACCGCCGGGTTCGGCTCGAGTGGATACTCTATACCCGGCTGCGACAATGGACGGATATTGGCTCTTGTCCACGCCAAAGGAAACATGCTTTATGCATTGGGGGACAACGCGGGAGCTGCGGCAGCGTTCGAGGATGCAATTTTAATTGCGGCCGGAAGAAGACGCCATGGGATTCAGAATCTGATCAAGCAGATATTTTCGGCCTTTATGCACAATGGCAATCGTGGCCAACCCGCCGGAGAACCTCATGAGCCCCAGGAAAGTATTCTTCTGTATCCCGATCAAGCGCTTCAGACCTCGAAGTTGGTTTTTGCTCCGTGTGGAACTCCTCCGGGCATCAAATTCGTGGCGGAAGGTCTGGCGAGGAAGGCGGCTATCTCTACGACGAGCAACTCATTACTCTCCCTCGCCAAGATTTACCAAGACGGCATGTCCAACATCTCGACCTCGGGGGTCCCGAAAGCTGCCCCCGGCGTTCGGGACATTCTGGCGCTCTACTACCTTTCCCTGTCTCTTCAACCCAGTCCGTCGACTGCGAACAATGTGGGGATTCTACTGGCAGGGATTCACAACAAAGTCCCGAAAAAGGGGCTTCCACGGTCCAACGGGGAAATGCAACATCCCGAGATTCCTGGCGTTGTTCCCGGGACAGGAATATCGTTGGCCTTGGCGTACTACAATTATGGACTGCACCTGGATTCGCGGCATGCGCACCTCTACACAAACCTCGGAAGTCTACTGAAGGATATAGGTCAGCTACAAGCGGCGATTCGGATGTACGAACAGGCGGTTCAGTGCGACGGTAATTTTGATATTGCTCTGGCTAATCTGGCCAATGCAGTCAAGGATGCTGGACGCGTCAATGACGCTATCGTCTACTACAAGCGGGCTGTCAAGGTGAATCCGGAATTTGCGGAAGCTGTGTGTGGCCTCGCCAACGCCCTCAACTCTGTCTGCAACTGGGTTGGTCGTGGTGGTGTTGGCAACGGCATCGGTTTTAGAGACCGGTGGCATGTCGATGAACAAGGGATGCTTCGAGACGCATATAGCACTGAGACCGGCGCAGGCTGGATCAAACGGGTGGTCGACATCGTCGACCGACAACTTCGAGAAGGAGAGTCATGGGGCCAGGGCTTGCTGACCCCGAATGCAGCCCAACAACTATGCGCCCAGCTGGTACCCGCAATGAAGATCCGCAATCAGGCAGCGTCTAGCTCACTGGCGGATATTCTTCAGTCCTGGGCTGGTCAACGATGGGAGGGAGCACGGGTGGTACGACTCGTGGAGCGCGCCATTAGGTCTATCACTTGGCAATGGTACCAGGATCGCTACGTGTATGGCAAAGAGTACCCCTTATCCAAATATCGGCGGCCGCAGTTGCCTTCCGGGCTGACGGCGCCAAATGCGCCCACCGTGCTGCCTTTCCACACCTTTACCTGCCCGCTCTCAGCAAAGCAGATTCGGCAGATTTCGCAGCGGAACGGTCTCCGCATATCTTGTTCGACGTTGCGCTCGCCTTGGCTTCCAGCCACCGTCTACCCACCTCCTCCGCCCCCGAACCCCTATTTGAAAGTCGGATATGTGTCATCTGATTTTAACAATCACCCTCTTGCGCATTTGATGCAGTCTGTCTTTGGTCTACATAATCCATCACGTGTCAAGGCCTACTGCTACGCCACCACGGCTAGTGACCGGTCGGTCCATCGGCAGCAGATTGAGAAAGAGGCTCCAGTGTTCTACGATGCGAGTGGGTGGCCTGTCGACGTGCTCGTGAAGCAGATCGTTGAAGATGGTATCCATATTCTGATCAACCTGAACGGCTACACTCGCGGCGCCCGGAACGAAGTGTTTGCTGCCAGACCGGCCCCCATTCATATGTCATTCATGGGATTCGCAGGTACGCTGGGAGCTGAGTGGTGCGATTATATCTTGGCGGACGAAATCTCGATACCACCTGAGACATTAGCGCCGGGTCGCCGCAATGTGCGCATCGAGGACCGACTACTGGAGGAAGACCATGGCGAGGACCTCGAAGACTGGGTTTACGGGGAAAAGCTGGTCTATACACGGGACACCTTTTTCTGCTGTGATCACCGGCAAAGTGCGCCCGATGCTCAAGTCCCCCAAATCGCATGGGAACAGGAGCAAAGTCGAAGATGGCGGATGCGCAAGGAGTTGTTCCCCAATCTCAGCGATGACACTATCATCCTTGGCAACTTCAACCAGCTTTATAAGGTAGGTTTTCTTTTCAGAGCCTTTGACTTCACGCCCGCTAACGAGGTTCAGATTGAACCCACAACCTTCCGCACCTGGCTGCGCATCCTCGCTCACGTTCCCGACGCTGTTCTCTGGCTCCTTCGTTTTCCCGACCTTGGCGAACGCAATCTCAAGGAAACGGCGATCGCATGGGCGGGCGAGGAGACCGCCTCCCGAATTATCTTCACCGATGTCGCCCCAAAGAACATGCATATCGCCCGTGCTAGAGTCTTGGACCTGTTTTTGGATACCCCGGAATGTAACGCCCACACCACGGCAACGGACGTCCTTTGGAGCGGTACCCCGCTCTTAACTCTCCCTCGTTATAAATACAAGATGTGCTCCCGCATGGCCAGCAGTATCCTCAGCAGCGCTCTTCCAGACACCGACGCCGGCCGCGCCGCTCGGGAGGAGCTAATCGCTACCTCGGACGAGGACTATGAGAACAAGGCCATCCGCCTATGCCTCGGCTTGAACGCCCGCCGTGCTGCTTCTGCCAAGACACCGCCGACAGGTCGACTCTCCGAGATACGGAAGATGCTATTCCAGGAACGCTGGAAAGGCCGACTGTTCGATACGGCGCGATGGGTGCGGGACCTCGAAGACGCGTATGACCGCGTCTGGCAGCGATGGGTGACCGGCGAGGAGGGCGATATATGGTTATGATCTAACCGTCTGTGTGTGCAATATACCAAGCCGTGCAACCCCTCTCTTTCTTCCTGAATATACCCCTTCGAGCGATTTCGTTTTTGTTCTTGTCTTCTATTGGCTACATGGTCCATTTCAGGGACTTTCATTTTGCGTTAATCTGTCGTCTTGGACTGGAGATATAATTCCGTCATTGGCCTGATCTAATGATAATTGTACTGGGGTTGATGTGTTTTGCAGAGACGGTTCGAGATGTAGGTTCACGATATTTGCCTCTAGTCTTGTTTTCTGTGATGAAGTCATGGTCAGGTCGTTGTTCTTTGGATGCGCCTCGGTTTCTACCGCTCTGGAGTTACACACCAGTGTCTGCATCTCTGTTGTTATGCCCGCGGGACTTCCATCTGGGTTTCTCTCCATCTACTTGGATCTGGAGTTGGCGTTAGCGTTGAGCTTTTCGATATCTCTTTGTGCCTGTTACCCCTTCCAGGCACGGAATTTTAACGATGACGAAGCTGCATAGAGGATAATTCCGGTGGATATGTTTGTTTTCTCGATACCTATTTGATAGAAGATATGCGATATGATGAAATCCTCCCAAGCATGGTGTCACTTACTCAGAGTATGCAATCGACTTCAGGGAAGGAGACATGACAGGAGCTTCTCGGTAAGATGATAGTGACTGGCTGTACCCGGCTTCGAGGATACTGTGTGCGGTGCCACACAGAGCACAGGAACCTACGGAGTGGCAATGAACAGTCGAGAAGGAAGTGGACTGTGAAGTGGAATGTTCGCCTGGGACTAAGACCTCAGGCCACAATCCAGCGAGCGTACCCTGCCTTGCCAGCTCAATGATTACTCAGTTGGCCGAGCTCAAAACCTGCTAGAAGTTCAACCATTGTTCGATACTCAATTGTGTTCAAGAAAATCCAACATCGATTGAGGACGCATATCCCCAGTTACAGCTGAAGCTAACTTACTACTGACTGACTTGCTTGATAGGTACTGAACCACTTACCTTGTACCCCTCCCCCCCTCTCATCTGGTTCTCCAGGACAAATACAGCAGCAGCAAAAGCAGCAGCAAGAGACTTGAAAGTCCCATGGGGTTCTACCCACCATTTACTAACCCGTTCAAGCCAGCCAGCCAGCACACAGCAAGTCCCTCAAACCCAACGCAAGATCGATGCAAACTACATACAGGTAGACAATAGTACTGCACTATGTCTATATCCCACTCCCCCCCCCTCCTTTCTGATCTTCAAATCACAAGAGGGGAGACAATAGCAAATACAGTAGCACGTACAAATGCCAAAGTATAAACGCATATACCCCAAACCGGACAATGTAAACCTCGTGCACATCGCCAAAACGAGAACATTTCATAAAAAAAAAGAAACAGCCACTCTGTTTCCGGAATGATAGTATTCATGGATGATAACTTTGGGGGGGGAAAGGGCCGCCGCGACGGCATACAGACGGATATGTTCTCCGTCTTGCTTGATTCAAGAGAACAACCACTCGGGAGAGGGGATCGTCCTTAGCAAGCATGAAACTTTCGGTACTCATAGTGTCCTGATGAATGCAGAAGGGAGGGAGGGGGGTGGGGGACTAGTTGGATCGAGGAGATTTGTCATAGATAGGATGCCAAAAGCAGGAAATCGGAGGTGAGGAATTCACACATACAACTTCCCGGGAGAGGGGGGGGGGGGGGGGGGTTACTGCACTTTGTCATATTCGGAGATAAGTTTTGGAGTTTGAAGAGGAAGAGGTGTGCAGTAGTCAATTAATCAGACTATCGAAGGTTAAAATAGGGCGTGCTCCTTCGTCTTGATTTTTCTCTTCAGGAAGGGGTGGAAGTTAGGTGATCTGCTTCCTACCTCAGTAGCGTAAAGAGGTCTGAACTTGGAAGGGCCGAATTTATCATGGATCGGGGGGGGGGAAGTTTTTCTCAGGAAGGTTACTATGCCTGAAGACGAGTAGGTTTAGGATAGAAGTACAGTAGTTGAGTGCTGCGGTGAGGAGGGAATAGCGAATTGAGGAGCTGAGGTGAGCAACTAGGTGATTGATAGGCAGGATCAACTTGCAGCCACAAAATTGAGGCCTGGGGGCCTGAGCTGAGCCACACAAGAGGTCTTTTGCCACCCAATATATTGTTCATCTAGTATGTACTACCTTGGACAAAGAGGTATCTACTATGAGTGCATAGCAAACACAGAAAACATGCCAGGATCTTCAGCCCAGCCACAATGATTGTGTGGTGTGCGCACGATACCATGCGGTGGTTTTTGGGTCACCGCAGTCCCCAGAGCTACTGTACACCGTATGCTTATTGTCCGGTCTCGCGACGGAGACTTTGGTTTGGAGCATCAGTACTTTCTGATCGACCGTCCTCGATCGCAGTAGCAGCACATAACTAGTGCAGAGACCCAGAGAAAGTGGGGAGTGACGACGACTCGAAGTGAGCTGCTCGCCTACACTGGTGAAGCGAGAAGTACTGTACTGTATGTATGTATACAATCCTACTACTGCAGCTGCAGCTGCAGCTACCTCACCATCATCATCATCATCATCGTCAGTAGCGGCTGAATATCGTCGGCAAAACGAGAGTCACTCCCCTCCTCCCGCCTCTGTCTCGTTGGCTCGCAAGACCAGGACTGGTCAGACACCCTCGTAGAACGCTCTCGCCTTGATTCACATGCAGCCACACACACACACACACACTCTCTCTCTCTCTCTCTCTCTCTGGGCACGAGTCACGTACAGTACCTCGTTCTCGTCTCCCCCTTCCTCGTCTCCCCCTCCTTCGACCTTGGACTCCACCGCCAAAAGTACTCTGCATAGCATAGTACATATAGACCCGGGGGTTTATCAACCGAGCACCCGAATCTGGCCAGTGCGATTGCCATCATCATGGATGGGGAGAATATATCCTGGATGGAAGCCAACTCCGTGCGTCCAAGCTCGTCCCCCATGCTTGACGGTCGACAATACACGGGCAGTATAGCAAGTTCTCCACTTTGGCCCCCCTCCTTCATCCTAAGCGGTCTTTTATTCATGACCCGCTTGTCTGGCCATCTATGCCGTCTCACGAGAGGGAGAGGGGGGTGGGGAGGGAAACGGTACGTATTTTCCGGGACTTCTCGCCTAGAACAGAGTCAAAGAAAAGGATTCGATGGGACTAAGGGACAGTGGAACAAGCGGAAAGAGATCGAGGGAGGGTCGACCACTCGACAGTCAATGAATGGTGTGGAGATTGCGGTTCTGGATCTTGTGGAGTTTTGACCACCAGAGCTAGCGGTAGGTAGTTATAGGCTATCTACTCCGGTACTGTGATCCACGATAGATGGAGAGGGATGAAGTGGGGGGGAGCGAGAGGGAGCGAGAGGAGAAGATGTCCGCGCGCGCGCGCGGGAAAGTAGTCAGATGCACGGGTACACTGGAGCCTGAATAGGGCGTGCGTGCGAACGGCTTGTGCTTGACAACTCGTGGGGAAAGGACCCTCTGTTCATTTATTTCGAGATTTCTTGTTGGTGCTCCTTGGGTGGGTTTTCTCATGCGGATTGACTCGCGGACAAGCTTGTCTTCGCCCTCTCTCTCTCGCCCAGCCCGCGGGACGAAGTCATTCTCTATTTTAGTGTTGGGGAGATAGTATTATTAGTATTTAGCAATGGGGGCGGCGGAGGAGGAGGAGGAGGGGCCCCAAACCCCATCAGGAGGGCTTCTCTTCTCTTCGTTTCTGGGATCTTTTTTTTTAGATAGTGGTGCGACAGAGCAATTAATCCCAGACTAACTAGTCACAGGGTCTTTTGTCGATGAGAAGCGAAGCGACTCCAGTTCGCTTGATAATCGTTGGATCCTTGGTGGATGGCAATGAAGTGAGTGAATAACAGGTTTGTTGATGATTGAATACAGAATTAGTGCTGTTGGCTTCGGTCGTTGCTAGACGGTGCAGTACATACGTACACACTGAAGGGTGGAGGTGTAGGTGTAGGTGTAGTAGAAGATGGATCGAAACTATTGGCCATGGGAGGATTCCAAAGATCTGCAGCCTCTTTCGTCCATCGGGGAATGGGGAGGGGAACTGGGAAGCAGAAGGGAAATCCCCGTAGCTCATTGGTGGTAAGAGCCTAAAACGGACGGGGCGCCCATGCTCTTTACCTTAGTATCGGGTCGAGATTCACGGCGATTGAGTTTTTTCTTCTTTTTTTTTCTTTCCTATTTTTTTTCTTTTGGTGTTTAAACCCGGGTAGGTTAAGTTAATTGTTTGATTGACTATGATTATTAAGTTAGGTTCGATCGTTTCCCGTCTGCCTGGACCCAAAAGGCTGATTCGGCCCCAGTAGTTAGGGACAGTACGTAGAGTTTAGAAGAAAAGCAAAAAAGTAAAGGGTAACAGAGGGGAGGGGGGAAGGGAAAAAAAAGAACCCCCGAAAAAGCAAACGAAAATTACCAGAAGAAAAAAAAAATAACACTCCCTCACCCTCTAGCCCGATTGACTATCGATGTTAACTGAACAAGGAGAACAAGAGAAGCATAACGAGATTCAAACTGAACCCCGAAGACAGTGAGGGAGGAGCGATCCCCGTCGCCAGGGTCACTCCTGGGCCCAGAATCCCGAGCCCAGCCTGCAGGTGCCCTGTTCCGGTAAGTTAGGCTTTTCTTGCGCTTTGCCCTGGCAGTGGGAGTGACTCGAGCAGAGGGGAAGCTTTAACTTCCTTGACAGCGGGAGATCCGTTGGGAACGAGGTCTGGTGGTTCGGGACAACGGCGTACAGTCTCAGGCCCTCAACGGGGCAGTCGGTCTTCTACAGGATCCCATCCCTATCCCCTAGTGTTTGCCTGGGTGTCCACAGGGAACGAAACTGGGGAGGTGAGGGGAAGGGGGATCCTCGGAGAGTTGGGAATCGAGGATTGACTAACATAGTAAGTATCCTGAGAATTTGTCAGAGTTGCGACACCATTGGAAGTGCGAAGAAGTGTAGGAGCCAAAGGTCCAACCGAGGCAATAGTCCCGTCACAT